TTCGAAGTTGTCCACATGCAGGGCTGAGAAGGTGAACTCCCTTCCTGGGCAAGTGAGTGCTGATGAGAAATGCTTGCTCAACTCTGGGGACAGGGTTGAGGCTTCTGTGCCTCCATCCAGCAGAGGCTTGGACCCTTAAAAACTGTTGAATTACTAAAACATTATGTATAGGAATTTTCCTAGCCTTTTCTGTGAAATAAAATTATTTATTCCATAACTTCATTCATTGTTTCTTGAAGGAAGTTAAATTCTCAGTCAGAGAGTCATTTATACAGTTGGCTATTTAGTCTAAAGTGACACTGACACTTCTTTTTTGCCTTTTAATTTTTTTAAAAATTATTGATTTATTTTAATTGGAAGATAATTAGTTTAAAATATTGTGATGGCTTTTTCCATACATCAGTATGAATCGGCCGTAGGCATACATGTATCCCCTCCATCCTGAACCTTTCCTTCCACCTGCCTTCCCACCCCATCCCTCCAAGTCATCACAGAGCACTCACACTGGTTATCTAATTTACATAGTTGTATTTTACATGGTAGTGTTAGTCGCTCAGTCATGTCTGACTCCTTGTGACCCCATGGACTGTAGCCCGCCAGGCTCCTCTGTCCATGGAATTCTCCAGGCAAGTATACTGGAGTGGGTTGCCATGCCCTCCTCCAGGGGATCTTCCTGACCCAGGGATCTAACCTGGATCTCCTGCATTGCAGGCAGATTCTTTAACTTAAGAGCTACAGGGAAGTCATCTGTCTTACATACAGTAATGTATATGTTTCATTGCTATTCTCTCAAATCATCCCACCCTCTCCTTCTCCCATGACACTGACATTTAAGGAAAATCTGTAATAGGAGTGGTGGTAAAACAAAGGTAATTAGGATTCCATGGTTTCCTATTGTTGATATACTTTTTGATACTATTATTGACATTTGACAAGTGTCCTAGTCAAAAAGGTATATAGCCTATTGACTATTAAATTAAACTTCTGAGATATAGATGTGAGCTACATTATATATAATATATCTGTGTATCTATCTTTTTTTAAAACCTAGATTGCTCAAAGTTTCTGCCTCTTTTGTAGGAATGAATGGTAAGTCTTCTATGAGCAAATATTTTAATTAAACATTAAGAGAGAAACAGCAAGGGTTTACTGCATAGCACAGAGAACCACATTCAGTATCTTATAATAAACTATAATGGAAAAGAATTCAAAAAAAGAATATAGAAGGGCTTCCCAGGTGGCGCTAGTGGTAAAGAACTTGCCCGCCAGTGCAGGAAACATAAAAAAAGAACATAGATACATACATATGTACATATAGCCAAATCACTTTGCTGTTACCTGATGCTAATACAATATTATGAGTCAACTACACTTCAGTAATAAAGTAATTAATTGATTAATTAATAAATACAAAAAAATTATGGCCAGTGGAACACTTGGAAAGCATGCCATAAAGGTAGTTGATGTTGAATCACTTATAAAATGAAACCACAGAGAATCTAAAAAAGTGTACTTTCAGTCTTCTGTTTTTTGAAATTTCTCATTTGATGTCTCAGGAAAATAACAGTGAGGCATGCAGTCAAGACTTCTGGAGAATCAGAGGTTTGGGGTTATACTCTCGTGGTTTCTTTTCTTTCTTTCTTCTTTTTAAAAAGATCTTTTGGCCTCACCTCACCTCTTAGTTCCCTGATCAGGGATTGAACCCGTACCCCCTGGCATTGGTAGCACAGAGTCTTAACCGCTGGACCACCAGGGAAGTCCAACCCTGGTAGTTTCTTGCTCTTCTCTTCCTTAGTCTTATTTCCATCTCTCACTATCACCAGGGAGTGTGCAGAGCCTGTGGCAACCTACTCTGTGAAAATGCCTCCCTACATCCAGGGATCTATCTATTAATGACCAATGAAGAATTTTTGCACTTTATTTTTGAAATATGAAAGCATTTTATTTAAAAAAACAATAATTTTGTTTATTAATTTTTGGCTGGGCTGGGTCTTCATTGCTGCATGTAGGCTTTCTCTAGTTGCAGTGAGCAGGGGTTGCTCTAGCTGAGGTATGCGAGCTTCTCATTGCAATAGCTTCTCTTATTGCAGAGCCCAGGCTCTAGGGCATGCAGGCTTCAGTAACTGTGGCATGTGGGCTCAGTAGTTGTAGCCCATGGACTTAGTTGCTCTGTAGCATGAGGGATCTTCCTGGATCAGGGATCAAACCTGTGTCCTGCATTGGCAGGCAGACTCTTTACCACTGAGCCACCAGGGAAGCCCTGAAAGCACTTTCTAATAAACCACCTTCCTGCCCGTTGTTCAGGTTTTCTCTTTGCAGATGATTTCAGCTTCAAGGAAGTGAAGGGGAAAGGCAGCACAGAAGAATCACAGCCCCTCAATTGTTCTGTTGCACTCCATACAGCGATGGCTCCTACAAAAATCATTAGAAGAGAAAGATATGATTATGACTTTCCCATATGACACATCTGCTTGGTTTTATTGCCTGAAATTAGTCCATTTTTATTGTGGACATTATTAAAGGAGAGTACTTGGGGGAAAGTCATTTGAAAAAAGACTTTCATGTTCCTTATATCCAGTGATATGCTTTTCAATTGTGGTGTTGATGAAGACTCTTGAGCGTCCCTTAGACAGCAAGGAGATCAAATCAGTCAATCCTAAAGGAAATCAACCCTGAATATTTATTGGAAGGACTGATGCTGAAACTAAAGCTCCAGTACTTTGGCCACCTGATGCAAAGAGCCATCTTACTAGAAAAGACCCTGATGCTGAAAATGATTGAAGGCAAAAGGAGAAGGGGGCAGCAGAGAATGAGATGGTTGGATGGCTTCATTGACTCAATGGACATGAGTTTGAGCAAACTCTGGGAGATGGTGAAGGACAGGGAAGCCTGGCATGCTGCAGTCCATGGGGTCACAAAGAGTCGGACACCACTTAGCGGCTGAACAGCAACAAGATCCAGTGATGCTTTGGTACTGTTTGCTGAGTAGTCTCTGGGAGAACATTTGCATTGCAGCTGCTTTACAGTAGGCAGTGTCCCTGCTACCACGCATATGAAAATGCATCTCAGTGTCCTGATATTTTTAATTCTCATCTGGCAAAAAAGTTAGGTCTGACAAGAGACCTACTTTCAAGTCTATGATTTTTTTTTTTTTTTAGCTGTACCAACGGCACATGGGATCGTCCCCAACCAGGGATTGAACCTGTGCCCCCATAGTGGGAACACAGCATCTTAATCACTGGACCACCAGGAAGGTCCCCTAATTTCAAATTTAAATAAAGTATGGAGGTAATGTTTGGGAGCCGCAGGGCTAGAAGCACCAGCCTCAGATGATGACTCCCAAAGCCATCTTTCCAATGTCTGTGTTAACACATTTCCGAAAGAAACTGAAATCAGGGGCTTGGCTTGGTCTGTGTCTCCAGCCTTGGAGGAAGCGTGAAGATGAAGCTTCCCTGTGAGCCCTTCACAAAGCAAAGAGGCCCTGGACAGGAGCCCAACACCTTTGTCAGGTGTGCTTTCTCTATTGTTCTCCAAATGGCAAGGGATTAAGATGAGGGAGTTGGAGTGGCAATTTTTTTATTCTTCCTAAGCCAGAAGAGACACTTTTCTTAGAGAGTTGTGGAAAGGAATGCAGAGCACTGAGTGCGTTGGGAGAGTTATCTCAAAACACCTGGAGTGTGTGTCTAATCCATTCTTTAAAACAGCTGACTGCTGCTTCCTCATAGCTGGCCCCCCGGCCTGGTCCAAATCCTTCCCTTTCACGGCACTGTTCCCCTGGCCTCCAAAGCCTTATTCTTTTAATTTTGGGAAGGAAAGGAGTCTCATGCCCACAGCTACAAGTGGGATTTGTTCTTCTTGTTGTTGCTGTACATACGTTCTCACAACACAGGCCTTCCATTCCTGCTAATCCTCTTCTCAGGGCCAGAGCTACTCTCTACTCGTACCTGGTGGTGGTGGTCCGTGCTGAGTTGTGTCTGACTCTTTGTGACCCCATGGACTGTAGCCACCAGGCTCCCCTGTCCATGGGATTCTCAGGCAAGAATACTGGAATGGGTTGCCATGCCCTCCTCCAGGGGATCTTCCACACCCAGAGATCGAACCTGGGTCTCCTGCTCTGAAGCCAGATTTTTTACCATCTGAGCCACCAGGGAAGTCCTGTATAACACACAGAGGGACAGGGTTTCCACCAACTTGCAACACAGCTGTGGCAGGCAAAAGAATGCTGCTCCGAAGATACAGATATCCCCAGATTACCTGGCCACTGTGACTGTGTTTCCTCACTTAGTAAAATGAACTTTGGAAGGAATTCCCTGGCAGTCCAGTGGTTAAGACTCTGAGCTTCCACTGCAGGGGGCGCTGGTTGGATCCCTGGTCTGGGAAATAAAGAACTTTCCTGGTGGCTCAGACAGTAAAGAATCTGCGTGCAGGAGACCTGGGTTTGACCCTGGGTCAGGAAAATCCCCTGAAGAAGGGAATGGCAAACCACTCCAGTATTCTTGCCTGGGAAAGCCCACAGACAGAGGAGCCTGGCGGGGGCTACACTCCATGGGGTTGCAAAGAGTTAGACACGACTGAGAAATTAACACACACGCACACACTGGGAACTAAGATCTCACATGCCATGGAGCAACTAAGCTGGAACACCACAACTACTGAATCCCCTGCTCCAGAGTCCATGCACCACAACTAGGATCTCGCATGTTGCGACTAAGACCCGATGAAGCCAAATAAATAAATATAAAAATAAATAAATAAAAGGGAAGCAGGAGGATCAGAGGCAGAGATGGGACAGCAGAAGCAGAAGCTGATGCTGAAATGATGTGCTTTGAAGATGAAGGAAGGAGCCATGAGCCAGGGAATATAGGTGAGCTGGAACAAGCAAGGCAATGGGTGAAATACTCCCCTGAAGCTTCTAAAAGGAATGTAGCCCTATTGACACTTTGATTTTAGGACTTACTACCCCCAGAACTGTAAGATCATAAATCTGTGTTTTTTTTTAGGCCACTCAACAGCAATGGAAAACCAATACCAGAGGACAGGGGCTAACAGCGCTGCTCGGCTGGACTCTATTTTAAGTGCTTCTTCCCACATAGCAACAGAGCTCCCTCTCACAGCCACGCCATGAGTGGCTGTTATTACTAACTGCATTTTACAGATGAAGAAACTGAGACAGAAGGAGTTCAGGGCCAAGATCCTATGGCTTGGACGGTCAAGGTCAGTATTTTTAAAGCAAGTTTCTCAGGGTTCAGAATGTGTGTACTAAACCACACACTCTTTTGTTTCCCAAGAAGGTGAAAGGCTTCAGGGATGGTCAGCAAGAAGAAGGTGTGTGAGCCACACATCACCCCAAAAAGACGTTTTACTCTTTAGCTTTACCATCATTTCCCACAAAATATCGTAGAAGATGAGACAAAAATGAAGACCCCTCTCATGGTATCCTTTTGCCCTCTGCCCAAGGAACCAACTGACCCAGATCACAAAATGTTGCATGCTAGGTCACTTCAGTTGTGTCCGATTCTTTTGGGACCCCAAGGACTGTAGCCCGCCAGGCTCCTCTTCCCATGGAATTCTCCAGGCAAGAATACTGGAATGGGTTGCCATGCCCTCCTCCAGGGGATCTTCCTGATCCAGGGATCAAAGCTGCGTCTCTTAGTCTCCTGAATTGGCAAGTGGGTTCTTTACCACTAGCACCACCTGGGAAGCCCAGATCACAAAATGGCCAAGTGTAAAAGAACACGTGGCAACTGATTACACATGAGATGGGTTGTGAACTATTTTTTAGCAGAAGGTGCCTACACTATAACATGCAATAAGAGATCCTTTACATGTGAAAATGAGCTTTTAATTGTCTTTTAAAATTTTATTTTGAAGCTTGTTGAGTGAGTAATGACCACATTTTCGGTTAGAACAAAATACTCAGGTGTGTCATTTAGAATACTGATGTCCATTTTTGTATGAAAACACACATACATGCTACTTTAACAGAAAGGTTAGAAAATGAAGTTATAAGAATGTTCTAGAAACTATAATTAAAGAAATGAAAAACAGGAGAAGATAAAAAAGTATCAAGCCAGAAGATCCAACATCCAGTCATACGAATTAAAAAAATAGTTAAGAAAATGGAAGAAAGGAAAGTATAAAGAAATCATACATGAAAATTTCCCAGTTTTGAAGCCTCAGGTATCTCAGTTAAAAAGTTCCATTGAGAGGTCAGGGCATTGAATGATAAATTCAAATTCCACCAAGGCACATCATCATGAAATTTCTACATTAGGAATGGAGAGAATATTCTGAAAGGTATAACAGTAAAAGTCCAAAGTCACACACAGAGGATTGCAGTAGATAGCAATGATAACTGGGGGAGAAATATTGAAGTGTCTTCAAAACTTGGAGAGACAGCCAAAAATGGGAAACAACCCAGGGGTCTATTAACTGATGAGCACATGAGTAAAAGTGATACAGCAATACAAGGAAGTGTATTTGGCGATAAAAAGAAATGAGATACTGATACATGCTACAACATGGATCAGCCTTGAAAACATGAAGCTAAGAAGTTAATTACAAAAGACCATATATTGTAAGATTCCATTTATAAGGCGGAGGGAGGCAGGAAATGGAAGTGACTGCTAAGGGGTATGGAATTTCTTTGGGGATGATGAAAATTGTTTCAACTAGTATCTTGAGGCTATTCTGTGTTCCAAAGTATCGTTTCCACTCATTTGTCTGTTATAAGTTTGCTATTTTGTGTGCTAAAATCTCTTGTTTTCAAGAATCATCAGAGTAAGACTTCTCTCATGGTGCAGTGGGTAAGAATCCACCTGCCATTGCAGGGGACACAGGATCGATCCCTGGTCTGGGAAGATTCCACATGCCGCACAGCAGCTAAGCCTGTGGGCTGCAGCTACTGAGCCCACGCTCTAGAACCCATGTGCTGCAACTATGGAAGCCCATGTGCCTAGAGTCTGTGCTCCGCAGAAAGAAAAGCCACCACAATGAGAAGCCGGAGAGTACCAGAGAAGAGCCGCCCAACTAGAGAAAGCCCACACTCAGCAACAGAAAACCCAGAGGAGCTAAAAAAAGGAAAAAGAATCATCAGACTAAATGGCAGTGTCTTTTGGAAAGGGTAGCCTTTATTATTAACTAACATATCAGTTATCAGTGAATACTGTTACTAGGGTTTAGCTGCCTTATGAAATATAAGAATCTCCCAGACCCAAGTCTGTCAGTCATGAATGCTTGTACCTACTCACCTGTCCTTCACAGGCCAGTTATGACAATGGAAACAAGTCTTTCCAGGTGATCAAGGAAGGGGTCAAGGCACACATGTAGGGAAGGCGCAAGCTCTACTTGCAGTGGAGGTAACAAAGAAAACAGTGTATCTCATATTTATCTTTGCATGCAAACACATTTCAAAAATCATTTGATTTATTTATCTACCTATCATTTTGCTTAAATGATACAGGGTAATGATAACTGGGTACAGGTACTCTGCCAGGTGCAGGAATACAGGGATGAACAAGCCATCACCCACCCCTGGCCAGCTTTTGGTCTCTTGAGAAAAGTAAAAAGATGTTTGAGACCCGATTCCTCATATATTGGCCAAACCTGATCTATCCCAGATCACTCTTCTGTCAGTCTACCCCTTTAGTGCCATTAACTGAATATTTTTAAAGTAGCTGTAGCAGGTGTTAGGGCTTAATTGTTCCACGGTGTGTGGGATCTTAGTTCCTCAACCAGGGATCAAACCCATGTCCCCTGCAGGGCAAGGCAGATTTTTAACCACCAGGGAAGTCCCACCATTACTTGAATATTAAGGCAGCTCTTCTTTTCTTGGTAAAATATTTTAGATGGGAGGGTTACATGAGCTGTGATGGGCCCCCTTTGACTGTCTGGAATGATATTGCCCATGAGGCTTGGCTAAGCCTGCATCATTCAGCAAATACTTTTTGAGCAGCTTCTATGGGCCAGGTTTATGGAACAATACAGAAGAGGTTCCTTCGCTTTTTCTGGAAGGGTGGGTGAGGGGGAAGGTGAAGGGCAGGCCTCTCTCTGAAGAATGAGAACTAGACAGCCAGGCAATGAGTTGGGGTAAAGGTAATTTTCAACACACTGCATTGGAGGCTGATTTTATCAAATCTACTTCACAGAGAACGAATCTAGCTCCCAGATGTTGAGGTCCTAAAGCCTTCAGTTGGCAAAGAAAACATTCAGTCCCACCCCGCCCCCTCCACCTTGGCCATTCTGTCTGCCAACCCACTGTGTCAGCTGGACGTGAAAATGTAGAGGACCATGCCATCAGATTGGGGGGTGAGGGAGAGGTCCAAACTGAACATTAAAGGATGAGAAGGAGGTAGAGAGGACCCAGAGCAACAGGGTGAGGGGTCTCCTTCCTTCTCTGCTCCTCTCTGGCCATTTCCTCTGAGCACTGCACCTACTCAGGGAAGATGACCTCTGCAAAGAATGGAGTCTTATTCTTGCATCAAGAGAAGGCACAATAAATAAATTTACACTGTATTTTTTTAATGTAATTATTTTTGGCTGCACTGGGTCTTCATTGATGGACACAGGCTTTCTCTAGCTGTGGCGAGCAGGGGCTACTCTCTAGTTGTGCTGTGAAGACTTACTGTGGTGTTTTTCTTTTTGTAGAGTGCAGGCTCCAGGGGGTGCAGGCTCAGTAGATGTGGCACACAAGTCTATTTGCCCCACAGCATGTGGAAACTTCCCAGACCAGGGATCAAACCCATATCCTCTGTATTAGCAGGTGTATTCTTAAGCACCAAACCACAAGGGAAGTCTTGCACTGGCTTTTGAGCATTGGAGAAGAGTGTGAGAATCTCTAGCCAAGCTTGCCAGCCAGGGATGCTTGTGTCTTCTTACCTGGCCTGCAAAGGTCAGTGACAGGTGATAGGAATATATCTTTTCAGGTGGCCAGGAAGGGAAGACAGAGAGAAAACACACAGCTCTCTGCACGGCAGAGAGGATGGCTCTCGTGTTGTGCCTGCAAACATTAATGCCCATTCATAAAAAGCTGGGCTTTCACAAAGTGCAAGGCCCTCAGTCTGTCATCAGGTGGATGGGGAAACGGGACTCCCACCTGAGCCATCCTTCTTCTTCAAGATGCTTCACCAACCGGGCCTCTGAGAACCATAAATAAAGACCACTGCGAATTGCTTTTCTGTCTGACCCTTTAACCTGAAATAAAAATAAAGCTTGGAGAATGTCATCATGACTCAAGGTTCCTTTATGGGCTCCTCCTTCCCTTACCTGTTGACAGGTGGCTGCCAGAGACCTCACAGTTACCTTTGATTTAGCTGTAACAGCATCTCCACACTTAGCCAAGGTCTGCCCTGTAATCCTCTCTGGAGCTGAAGTCAATCTGTGTGGTAACCTGAGAGCCATCTCTGGGCTGCGGATGATGTCACTGTCTGTTAACACAGGACTGGAATAACCAAGAAACTCATGCTCCGGACAATGGAGCGGGAGGTCACTCTCAAAACCAGAGGTCGGCTCAAATGTTAAGCGAATTTTCAAAGTAAAAAGGAAGATTTATTCCCATACACCCTTTTATAAACTCCTGAGGTAGTTCAATGCTTGCTTTAAGAGAATTAAGAATGGTTTTATTCTGAATCAGAAATCCGTATCTGAGAAGTCTGAATGTATTATGGAGATAAAGGTGGAAAATTTGAAAATTGGAGCCGAAAATTATGGACATAAATGAGCAAAACCTCCAACTGGATTTTAAACCATTATTTGTCTCCACTCAAGCCCTAAATGAGTTTGTATTAGTAAATGTTACCCTTGCATTTGTTTGTCTGAGTACAGTTCTGGATAGAGAAGAATGTTTTTTTAAAAAATTATTATTATTATTTTTTGGCTGAACCACAAGGCATATGGGATCTTAGTTCCCTGAACAGGGACTGAACCCATTTCTCCTGCAGTGGAAGCTCATTCTATTAACTACTGGACCTCTAGGGAAGTTTGGAAAAGGATTTTATTTGTCCTTAATTTATTTGGTGTCCTGGAGGGAATCATATAGAAATTTCTTTGTGTTAAATAATATCTGCTAAACACAGCAAAACTAAGGTCCTTTTTTTAATAGGACAAATGAGCTATATTGCTTAAGCCATTGGCAGGGATATGTGTGTGTGCGTGTTCACATTTTGCTTTGTTTTAAATGTGGGGCAAGGATTAAACAATTTCTGGCTTTACATTTT